AAAAAAAAACCAGAAAAATTGAGCAAAGGCAGAAATAAGTACTTTACACAGGCAGAAACTCAAATGCCAATAAACATGAAAAAAATGTTGATTCTTGGCATAATTAAGTGCAACAGTTGACTATTTCTAAATTCAAATTATAAAATTACCCAGTCTAGTGAAATAAATGCAGAAATTTAAAAGAAAGAGAAACAGCATTTTACCTGTTAGACAAAAATTTAGAAACAATGAGAGTGGTTAAGTTCTGGAAGACGAACACATTTCACACACTGGGGTGAAAGTATGAATTCTTATAACTTAATGAGGGAAATTTAGAAGTCAAAAAGTTCAACAAGTTATACAGATCCTCATTTATCAGTATTTTTCTCAGAATTTGTCTTAACAAAAATCTAAGATACATACAAACTAGTATACAAAAATATTCAATAAAAAAGTAGAAAAGTAATCATAAATTGTATTCTGCAGGACTGTTTACAGTGACATAATACCCCACAGACATGAAAAAAGTAGCTGCATGATGTAGTTCTACTGTGAAAAATAGTATGCTATGCATGGGCTTACTTGTAGGTGTAAGAATACGCACAGGAAGGTTAGAAAGATACATGCCAACATGTTGTAAAAGCAGCAGCTGTGTAATTAGTGATTTTTCAAAACATGCTTATACATTTTTGCTTTTCCTGGCTTTCTAACACTTGCTACTTTTATGATAAATATTTGTAATAAGTACTTTATATTTGTTTATTTATAATAAAACAGCAATGTGCATATAAAAATGTGCTAATATTTCAAATTAATTCCTTTCAGAACACAAGAGTATAATAATACCAATTTCATTTCAATTTTGACCTACTTTAGTTTCCCAAAGAGAAATCCTTGAACTTCATCTGCTTCAGTCCCATCTTCCATGATAGTGTTAGTCACTGCTGCATTTTGGGAACAAAAAAAATGTTTTCAGACTAAAGAACACGTAATCAAATATTAGTACTCACAATGGAACAAATTTCCAGGTATTTTTACCTTGTTTTTCCTTATGAAGTAGCTTACTAGACATGTATGTGTACAGACTTAAGATTCCAGGATGTGCTCTCTATTTTTAAATGGGCTTGTGTTGACTAAAAAAATTTAACAACACAGTGAATGCTTTCTAAATTATTTCATAGTCACGTTCTATCTTAAAACTAGAAATAAGAAAAAGTGCCTGCAACAAGTGCTGGGTTTAGCTTTTTAAGTCTGGAAGGAGATGCAAACCCTAATAAATGCAAATTCTCGCATTTCCAAGACCCTTAAAAATTAGGAATCTTTAGAAAGATAACAAAACCCATGGACTCAAAGATAAAGATACAGTATTTTAGTCATTTCTCTTCTCCCTTAACAAATACTTATATCACAGTATCTGGGATACATGAAAGATGCTTACTTAGGGCTAATAAGAATTATGGTGCCTGGAGGCCGGGTAGATAGCTCAGTAGAATAAGCACTTGCCTGGCAAGTGCAAGGGCCCAATTTCAATCCCCATTCTGGAAAAAAATATGGTCCCTGTACTGGTTGATACACTGTGTCAACTGGAGAAGTTTAGAAGTTTAATTAAGTGACTCAGCAGGGAGCCAGGGTTCTTAGTTTGTAAATATCCTCATCCTATGGAACAGGAGGACCTAGACATTGTGGGAGTTCTACACCCCCAGCCCCAGGGCAGCTTGTTTCTAGTATAAGAAGGGGAGAGAGGCTGGCTAGAAACTGTGGCTGCTGCTCTTCCCCTTGCTCTTCAGTTTCTGCTGCCATGAACTGCTGCTCTCTGCTACCATGTGCCACTCTGCCTGGGGACCAGTCAAGTATAGACTGAAACCTCCACAAACTGTGAGCTAAATAAACCTTTCCTTCCTTAATTCTGGGTGTCAGGTATTTTGTCTGAGCAATGAGTGAAAAGTAACTAAGACAGACCCTTATAGAATGGAGGTGCTCTTCACCAGAATGTATCAGAGCCCAGTAAGTATGCTTTTCTCCTCTGAAGCTCTCAATCTCTAGGACTAAAAGCAAACACATGGATGCTCTGGTCTACTCTCCCTTTTCCTCCTATTCATTCAGTCATTAGGCAAATGTTTGCTGACTGCTTACTCTGATGCTTATTGTCTGAGATACCAAGAGCAAGATGAGAAAAATAAATGACAGACCATGCTTGGTAGCAAAGGAGAAGGAAAAATGGATACCTAATAGAACTCTTCTAACACAAGGCACAGAAACATGGGACATACAAAAGGGAAAACCAATCTCTATAGAGCTACAACAAAGGCAAACATTTCAGAGACATTGACTGATAATATGTGAGTCTTACAAGGTAAGGAAGACTTACATGAAAAGAAAAAACTGGGAGAAAGGAAGAAAACTGAGGGTGGAAGGAACTGCATAGCCCAAGGCATCATCAGAGGCCAGGTGGGGCCCAAGCATGGCGGCATCCAAGGAATAGAAGTATTATTCTGAATAGTAGTTTAACATTGTAAAACCAGAGGGTGAAAATGAGAGCTCTAGGGGGAGAGTGAGGCAGAAAAATATCACATTGTGAAAAATTTGTTTGCAACACTATGGTACCTGAATTTAGAAAGATTTTTTGTTTTGGGGGGGCTGGCTCAGGCTGCCTTAAGGGCGGGTCTGGGGATCGAACCTCGGTATCCTGGGCCTGACTGCATTTGCATAAGCAGGTGCTTAAACCACTGAGCTAACCAGCAGGCCCCCTGGTACCTGAATTTATGAGGAGAGTTATAGGGACTAACTAAAGGATTTCTTTCCAGTTTGGGGTTTTATTTAATCGGTACATGTGTGTAGTAACTGCTGTTTACAGTCCTTATGGGGAGTTGGTTCCTGTACATAATGCATCTTAATTCTTATTTCATCCCCTTTACCATTCCTCTTTCCCTCCTCCACTGATCTCTTGGTACCCTTCTTTTTTGCTTCTTTTTTTTTTTTTTTCAGAACCGGGGATTGAACTCAGGCCCTTGCGCTTGCTAGGGAAGCACTTATTCCACTGAGCCATCTCCCTGGACCCCCTTTTTCTTTTTTTAATCAGTAGAATCACATAGTCAGATTTTGATGGTGAGAAGCTCACTTTCAAGTCTTATGGAGAAGTTTGCTCAATATATTCTGGAGGGAGGCGAACATGAGAGCATTAAAGACTAAAGATCATAGAGATGGTAATTCAGTCTTATGTATCCCCAATGGCTTCCCCATCATTTTTTGGCACCATGTAACGAATGATAGTATATTTAAGATATACTGAGGCAACAGAAGAGACTACTTATGGCTAGCAATGACTGGTCCAGAAATCCAAGGCAGCACATGCTCCATCAAATCAAGCTGGGGGCACCTAAGGGACTCTGTATCCCTGCCAAGCTGTATTCATTTGTGACAGCCAGAAAGCCAGACACAGAGAGAGAGAGAGAGAGAGTGTCAGACAGACAGAGACAGACAGGCAGAGAGAGAGAGAGAGACAGAGACAGTAAGAGACAGAGAGATTTGGAGACAGAGAGAGTCCGAGACAGAGAAAGAGAAAAATGGAGGAATGGAATCTAAACCTGTTGCAAATAGAGTGAGGAAAAAATATTCCAAAATATGTAAAATGTTGATCACAGAATTTGATGATACAATATAGGGAGTCATCCTGACCTTTTAAAGAAAATTCTACAATGACAAGGACATCTAGAACATGACTGGTGTTACTATCACGTTTATAAAGCATTATAGAGCTATATATGCCATATAGAAACATATAAAATGTGGATGCTACTAGTTCTACCATACTTTAATTCTCTGACCTAAAGTATCTCATTTCCAGTAACAAAGATCTTTATTTCAAGTACATTCAATGGCACCAGCCAGAGATAAATTTGTGATCAAGATAGAGACTCCAAGGCCAGATTCTCAATAAAAAGCCAAACTTAAAGCTAAAATAAACCATTTATAAACAGATATAAAAGGAATTAAAACCTCTTAACTTCCAGGCATGAGTGAATTTTAGATAAAACTAGTATTGGATGATTTCCATGATTTCTGAGAACTACTCAGTTTACGTAAGCCTTCAGTTTCTTCACACAGACTAGGGATGTCCAAACCAGAAATTGGACATACCTGTTACAATAAAAAGCATTTCAAAAAATGCAGCTTTCTTACTTATATGCACTGTGTGGCCCAAGACGACAATTCTTCACTCACTTCACCCAAGCAAGAGCACCTACTTTGTTCATAGAATAATAATGGGCAGATACTGGTTTGTAAATTCTACTATGATGAACTTACCTGATTTAACACACAATCCCAGTGGGGACATGATTTGTATATTTTGCTGCTAGGCGGCTTGAACCACCAATGGTAAATAGCTGACTGTCCCACTGGGTAGCTTTTTAATAATTTCATTAGTAAAAATACCAATACAGTGACTATATCCATTTATACCATCCAGTATCAGGAACAAGTTAAGGAGCTCACAAGCTTCACCTACCCTGCTTGATAAAATTATACTGACCATTATAAAAATTTCAAGTATAGTTTCCTAAAGTTAGTCATACAGCTCACTGGCAGAATGCTTCCTAGCATATAAAAGGCTGTGTTTGATTCCTAGCACTGAGAAAAGTTGCCTAAACAACTGTGTCACCAATGAGTAGAGGCTGACATAGATACTGATATCTTTACAGAACCCCAAGTCGACTAGATATAACATGGGCTATCCTGTACTCCTGGGCCAGTCATTACTAGCCTTAAGCAGTTTTTTCTATTGCCTTCAGTATACTATGGTGCCAAAAATGTTTGGAAATCATTGGGTATAAGAAAAATAATATACTATTTTCTAGTTTTTAAAAATTATTTTATTTATTTATTTATTTGGTACAACGTGTCGCTATGCAGCACAGACTCCTAGTGATCCTCCTGTTTTAGCCTTCCCAGCACTGGAATTATAGGTGTGTGCCACCATGCTCAATTTCAGTGGCCAGCATGGCATGCCTGGGGTTTTGGGCTGGCATGCCACGCAGTATTTGGGATCAAACCCGTATCTTTGTGCTTTCCACACAGGCACTTAGACTGCCAAGCTATCTCCCCAGCCCACCATTTTTTATGTTAAAAGAAGTTTTGAGAATACAGTAATATTAAATATACCTCTTTCAACTTAAGATTGAAATCCAAACTAAGGAAAAACATCACCACCCCATCTCCAGCCTCAACTGAACACCTGTGGAATTATATTCATTAAATTAAAAAAACAAAACTATATAAGCCTCCAACTCACCATCCTACTCAAGTAAAGAGATAATAAACTTACTTTTAGCTTGGGTGTCATCCAATGCTTTGTATTCTGTGCTCTTAATTGCTAGCTCTACACCATAGCCAGACAAATACATTTTTCTTGAACTTGGATTCTGTTCAAACACATTTATTTTATAAAAAGAAGAAAAAAAAAACTTAGTCAAGTTAGGATACATCTTTCACAGTTGCAATCAGTGAAAAATGGGCTGGGCTGCTTTGGAAGACAACAGACCTAACATATGTCTTTTAGCAAACTGAAAACATGCTCCATGATGATCTACATGTGAGTGTAATGGTTCTGAAGTGACTGGCGCGTGACTGTGCCTGCTGATGTACAACACTGTACATGACAGATGACAACTTTTAAAGCGATAGCTGACTAAATGGTGAGGTAAAAATATGCTAGCAGGAGACAAGATCAATATATATAAAGGACAAGACTCCAAAATTTACTGGAAAAGTCTAATTCATTTCTATACAAAATGTTTCATGGAAATTGCCAAAGGAGCCTAAATATAACATAGATACCTGCCTATCAAGAATAGCCAAGGTTTTTAGGAAAACAAAAACTAGGAGGTAGAGGTGTACTTTAAGACATGGAGATACTACTAAAAGCTATACTAAGTGAAATCAAGTCCAACGCAAGTTTTTGTATTGGACAGACATATATTACTAGAATAGAATGTCTCTCCTCTAATGGCCATTATAATCTGAGGGGTGACAAGAAATCTGAGATACACTACAAATGCTATAGAATCAAAACACTATGGAAGTGCGTGACAGCAATGGGAGGCTGAGAAAGGACAGGACAATATAAAATATTTGAACAGAAATCAGAATAAGAAAGTAGTCATTGCTCAGAAGAAATAGCTATAAAGAGTACTCTCTTATGCCACACTTAGGTATTTCAATATATTATCAGGTAAATCAGATTCCTTCACTGTGATATAGTTTTTAAAAAGTAGTAATGTTTATAAATCTTAGGAAATATTATACATGTTACTCAAGTTTTTTTTTAATGTAAGTTAAATCTGTGCCAGATATATAAGAGGAAGGATTATAATCCTGATACTCCACAAGAGGCATAATCTTGATTCATTTTTCCGTATTAAACTCATCTGCTTATTATACTAAATTTAAAGCTCTTAAACAACTCTTCTGGGGAAGTCATCATATTAATTTAGTAAAATTACCTTAAAATTATTTTTCTGTATTCAAACTAATATTGGCAAAACAAGCATGTACCTGAACATAATGACGAAGAACATATAGAATTTTGCCACTTTGAGCTTTTTCAGACAGTACTTTGTGAAATTCACTAAATACTCTGGTTCCCACTTCTGCATAGAGAATAATTACTGGTAAGTTTTCTTTATCTGTGGGAAATTTATGATCTCCTTTAAATAGATACGGCCTGGGCCTAAAGGGAAAACAAAGTACAAACTGTTAAAAGAATTAAAAGTCAACAGCATATATTTTGTAATATTCTATAATAACTTTTATATCAAACAATTAATATATGACCACAGGAAAATAAAATTTCCTTTTTGACTTTATGCACCGAACTTCTACTAAATGATATAAAGAAAAAAAATAAATCCAAAACTTAACATAAAAATGACTTAACTATTCTGCAAGATACATTATCTTTAAAGAAAAACACAATGGCAACATGATTTTCAATTAAAACTTATATTTTATTTAATTAGAATAGTTAATTTTTATGGTAGCTCCTATTTTCTGCAGAGTTTGCAAATATTTGAAAAAAATGCAGTATAACTTTTCAAAACAATTACCATTACCTAGTACAAAAAATAAAATCCTAAAAGACAGAAAGAAACAGGAATTCTATGATTTAGTCCTGTCATTATAAACCAATTTTGGCATTTTGTTCATCAGCCTCTGTTCTAGATTCTTTATATTTACTAGTCACTTTTTTTTTTTTTTTTTTTTTTTTTTTTTTTTTGGCAGAACTGGGGATTGAACTCAGGCCCTTGTGCTTGCCAGGCAGGCACTTATTCTACTGAGCCATCTCCCTGGACCCCAGAAAAGCTATATTTACTAGTAAAGTCGACCTTCACTACAAAAATTACAAAGTTATTATCATTTACCTAAAATTTTAAGTTTAGGCATCTTTGACCATTAGAAAAAAATGCAAATCAAAATGACACTGGGATTCCATCTTACCACAGAGAGAATGGCTATCATTAAAAACTCAAAAAAACAGCAAAGACTTGCAAGATTGTGAGGTAAAAGGAAACTTCTACATTGTTGGTGCGAACGTAAACCAGTGCAACCGTAATAAAAATCATGAAGACTCCTCAGAAAAGTAAAAATAGATCACATTTGGCCCTGGAATACCTCTTTTGGGTTGGGTATCTTTCTAAGAGTTAAAGATATCACATTACAATGATACACACATAGTAACATTTATAGTAGCACAACTCTTAACTAAATCTGGAAGCAGTCTCTATGCCCTTAACTAGATGAATGGTCCCAGTAAATGTGGTATATACACACAGAACAGAGTACTACTCAGCTATAATGGATATTTAAATCAATTTGTATGAAAACAGACACACCTTGAGACCACAATCCCAAATAAAATACACCAGATACACAAGGTTAAATATTGCATCATTTCCCTTATATGAGAAGATCAAAGAGTAAATAACTTAGAAGAACAAAATAGAAGTGATAGGAAACAAGGAGTTAAGACTTTTGGAGATGGGAAGGGGTACTAGGGATGGATAAATATAAGGAAGGGAGGGGAGATAAAAAGGATCAAGATGTGACATTCTCTGTATAGTACAATCTCAGGATAGTTAAACATTTTCTATATTGCTCATTTCTTCAGTATTTAAATTTTTTATTATGACTATGTATGATTTCTTCTGTTTTATATATAGCTTTCTGTTTTGGACAAAATGTTTAAAGCATATAAATTGGTGAGCTTTCCTGCTGCTGGGTCACAATACCCAACACCCACAACTTAAAAGAAGACAGGCTGAATTTGACTCACAGTTTCAGGGAATTTAGTCCATGATAAACTTTTTCCATGAGAGGAATATCATGGTAGAAGAATATAGCAGAACAAAGACACTTGGTTCATGGTGGCAGGAAAGCACAGCAGGGGAACAGCACCAGGAAGGAAGGGCCAAGGACCTGATATAGTACCCAAGGTCATGTCTCCATGACCCACAAAGACACCCCTAGATGTGCACTCAGCCAACCCCTTGTGTGGCTCTCAAGTTAATAACTATCACATTCTACCCCTTATCAACTTGCTACTGAAAGCCATCTCCTTAAATCATACTATCCAAATAAACACCTAAGTCATAATTCCACCTAATATGGTACAACTATCCAGTATACAAGTGAAACACAATGATCTCTTCCTAAAATTCTCGAGTTCTGCCATTATTGAAGTCTACGTCAGTCTTTTATAAGACTCAAAGTAAACTCTTAGCTATTAAATGCTTAAAGGACAAATATGTATTTGTTCCAAGAACAAAGGGTACAGAACAGATATTTCCATTCCAAAAAAGGAGAGGAATAAGGATAGAAAATAAGACTACAGGGAGACTAAACACAGCAAACACTGAGCCTTACAGGTCTGTATCTTGGATCTAAAGCATATGGTAGTGCGATGTGAGCATCTTTTCCAATTTTTTGGAGGCTTTTTACCATGAATGGGCGTTGGACTTTGACAAATGTTTTCTCTGTATTTATTATATGATTTTTGTCTTTGGCTCTGTTAAAATGGTGTATTTATTGATTCAAATATGTTGAACCATCTTTGTACCTCTGGAATGAGTCCTACTTGGTCATGGCGTATGATGTTGATGATTTGCTGCACTTGGTTTGCCAGTATCTAATTGAGGATTTCTGCAACTATGTTCATTACGGAAAAAAGTCTGCAGTATTCTTTTTTTGGTTAGGTTTTTCTATGGTTTGGGAATCAGGGTAATACCTGCTTCCAGAAAGGATTTTGGAAATACTACTTCCCTTTCAATTTCCTTAAAGTGTTTCAAGATTAGTGCCATTAGTTCTTCTCTAAATTTCTTATAGAGTTGCACAGTGAATCCATCAGGGCATATGCTTTTCTTCGTTTGTAAATTTTTAATCACATTTTCAACTTCATTGGCTTCTATTGGGTTATTTAAAATTTTTATACCTTTTTCACTTAGTTTTGGCAATCTGTGTCTAGGAATCTATGTGTTTTCCACCTTGTTACAATATAGGTTCTTAGTAGGTATTGATGATCTCTTGGATTTCTGTAGAATGAGTTGTGATTTCCCCCTTTTCATTCCTAATTGCTTAAATTTGTGTTTTTTACTCTTTTTGATAAGGTTGGCTAACAGTTTATCAATTTTATTATTTCAAAGAGCCAACTTTTCAGTTCTATTGTTTTCTTATTCTCTGCTGCATTAATTTTTGCTCTTATCTTTATAATTTCCTCCTTCATACAAGTTTAGGTTTGCTTTCTTTTTCAAGAGGTTTGAGGTTCAACCTTAGGTTATTTGAGCTTGTTCTATTTTCCTCATTGTGAGTTCATTCCTCTAAATTTCCCTCATAGAACTGCTTCCATTGCATCCTATAAGTTTCATTATGCTGTATCAGAATTATTGTTTCATTGTACATAATGTCTAATTTTGTCTTTAATTTCCTGACTCATTGGTTGTTCACAAGGGTATTAGTTAATTTCTACATGTTAAGTAGCTTTTGTGATTTTCTTTGTCTCTGATTTCTAGTTCCACTGTGACAAGATCAGATACATGTTTTATTGGCTAATATATATTTTGGAGAATGTCCCATATGTAGCTGAGAAAATGTATTTGGAGGCTTTGGAGTAGAACACTTTATAGATATCTATCAAGTCCATTTTCTCACAAGCTTGATTTAATTCTAGTATTTTTTAGGTGATTTTTTGTTCAGTTGATCTATTTGTGAGTAAGGTATTAAGGTCACCCACTATAATTGTTAGTGTTTATTTGGCTTTTTATATCTATTAATAACTGTCTTCTATAGTTGCATGGTCTCATACTTGGGGCATACATATTTATGATTGCTATCTCTTCCTCTGGAGGTTCTCCCCTAACAAGTATGTAGTGACCTTATTTCTTTTGATCATTCTTAAAGTTCACATTGTCTACAAACAGAATGGCTACCTCTAATTGTTGGGAACCATGGAAGCTAGAAAATTGGTCAAATGTGTGTAAGCAGGATTAAGCCTCGTTGCCTAAAGCAAACAAGCTACCTCAGTCCTCCAGATAAGCATCCTAACTGGTTAATGTCAACTATTAGTGACTAGGCAACCTTGTGTCACCTGTCACTAACCTTGCCAAGTTATAAATAAGCATCCATATTTTTGCTTGGGGGGTCGTCTCACCAACCAGGCAGATGAGTCACCACCTAACTCTGCTCTTGTCTTCTTGTCTATCTTGTCCTCATTCCTGCCACCACTTCTCCCTAGGCAGAATGGATCACACTGATTTTTTTCTGGATTCCTGGACAGAATTGTTTTTCTTCACCTGACTTTTAGTCTATGAATTTCTTTTGGGTTAAATGTATTTCTTAAGTGCAGCACATTGCTGGACCTTACTTCTTGATCCACTCTTCCAGTTTGTTTCTTTTGATTGGTGAGTTCAGACAACTTATGTTGACTGTTATAACTGATATGTACTAGATTATTTTTTTCATGTTGTTTTTCTTTTCTTTGTTCCTTGTTTTTATCCTCTGTTTAACTGCCTGCCCTTCCTGGTAGCATCTTTCTCTTGGTGTTCACGTGTTTTATGACCTTATTTTTAATATGTCCTTCAGAGCATTCTACAGAGCTGGTTTAGTGGTCATAAATTTCTTAAGTTGCTCTTTGTCATGGAAATAACATTTCTCCATCACTTTTGGAAGTTTTGTGGGGTACATCAATCCGGATTGAAGTTTTCCTTCAGGGCTTGAAATAACTCACTCCTAGCTCCTTGATTTGAGGGTTTGTGATGAGAAGCCTGCTGTGATTTTCATAGGCTTTCCTTTATACGTGATAGGTTTCTTTTCTCTAGCTGCTTTTAATATTTTTGTGCTGGATTTATGGAATCCTGATTACATGCTTTGGTATAGACTTATTTTGGCGATGGCATGTGGGATTTCTATATGCTTCATTTACTTGTAGGTCAAATATCCATGTTTGTGAAGTTTTCTGTCATTTCTATGAAGAACTTTTTAATGGCTTTTGTGCTGTCTCCAGCTTTCTCAATGATTCCAATCAATCTTACATTGTGCTTTGCTTTATCCTACAGCTGTTAGATGGATTTTTGAAGGTTTCTTGCTATTTTTAAGATATTTTTATTTCCCAGGTAGCTAGTAATGTTCCTGTCAGAAGATATAATCTTGTATGCTTGCTTTCATTCAATCTGCTGCACA